CCTACATGTTATTGAATTACAGTTGTTGTTAAATCTCTGTAATTAAAAATAGTTTGTTACTCTCCTGGGTCCTCATGCCTCATTTGGTCACTTATAAGGGGGAACCTGCTGGAAAAGGCGTGCCTAAAGGGGTAGGGTGCTCTGGGCCCTCCCGGGGAGACCCACGCTAGAGTGGTGGCAGCCATGAGAGAGCTCTTCTAGCCGCTGTCAGTGACAGCTTGTTTGATGAGGAGGCACCTGGTTAAACCTTTTTATTAACTATGCACGTAACGTGGAATATAGTTTATGACAGTTATTTTTTTTTTAGTCTACATGCACATTTCCGGTTACTTGTTGCTGCCTGTTGATTACGTTATTGCTGATCTATGATACAATAACATTAAGTAAATCCAAGCAGGAATACAATAAGCATAGTAGCTTGCATCGCTTCCCGTTTTGCACTGAATCGTCTAGACAGATTTTGATACTTCCTTTTTAAAAACCCCGAGGTGTCTCCCTTCGGGTTTGCTGTTTACAAAACTCAGTCGAGCTGGGCTACGTGATAATTTTTGCCACCATTTCCCCCTCCCTGTGACCATTCACGGGCACTCACATGCCAGGAGTGCATCAAGAAAATCCCATGTAAACTGGTGTTAACATGTTTTGCACTCGCTTCCAGAATCACTGTAGATCCCCTCCCCTTCCCCCTCTACCCGTGCATGGGAGCCTGATGTTCCAGCCCAAGGGAGTCCCCTGTGGCCGTGGCTGGCTCAGCATCAACCGTCAGCTGATTCCTTCTGGATTTACCCCCTCCCTATGCTGGGCAGCAGGACTGTTGTGAGCCAGTGGTCAGTCTGTCTGCCTTGGAATGAGGGTCGTCTCCCTCTGCCTTTGCCGGCACTCCGGGGCTTCAGCTGTTCCCTGCCTCCACTGCTGTGGCTTCACCTGAGAACCTGCTGCTTGCCACATTTCCTTATCAGCCGAGCCCAGGCTTCCACCATTAAGTCCATGCGGAAAACGTGGCTATTTCTTGCAAGCTGAAATGTGTGCTCGCAGTCACCTTGGCTGTGATGCTGGAAAAGATCCTTCACGCTTATCCAGAAAATCATTAACTACGGTTTCATTTGTTGACTGTGGATTTCATAGACTGGTGGGGTTTGATGAAAACGGGATGGATTTCTTCTGTGACCTCTTGCTCATCTTTGTTCATGGCCGATTTCTCTCTTATCTTACGACAGCAAATGGAACATCGAGCAGCCAGCTGTCCACCCCCAAATCGAAGCAGTCCCCAATCTCCACACCTACCAGTCCAGGAAGCCTCCGTAAGCACAAGGTATTACGTTTCTTATACCTTACTAAACCTCCTACAGTCCGCTTTGAGTTCCTGTGAGAGGGGTGCATTATAGAGACAGTGAATACAGCAAATAAATCTGGGTATTAGGTGCCTGTACCACCATGGTAGCTTGCCAGAAGGGAGAAAGGCTGAACTGCCCTCTGCTGCCCTTTAGCATCGCCACTGAGCATGGCTGTGTGTGGTACTACACCTCAACAGGAGGCATGTTGCCTGAGGGTCTAGGGTGGTTTTATTTCCACGAAGCTGCAGGCTCTGGCGGAATTTAGAACCCAGGCACCAATGTTCCCTCTAAGCTCTGGAGTCTTGTGAGCAAAAATTCTACTTTGTGAGCTACTGGCATTAAAGTTGTGAGCGAGCGATTTGGCTGCTGCATAAATTAGTCTGCTCTGGAGCCATCCTTCCCGAGCTAAGACAAAAATGTGTGAGCCGGAGGCTAAAAAACTCTAAGCTAGCTCACACTAACTCAACTTAGAGGGAACACTGCCAGGCACTGACTTTGCATTCAGACTGTCTTGCTTGTGGGCCTGCCATATCATTTCACTACTGCCAGCCCTCCTATGTCCTGTCATTTATGTGCTGGACATTTATGTACAGGAAAAAATCCTATAGTAATAAAGACTGGACTGTTACAGCCTCTAAATGTTTGCTCTTTGCAATTTCTAAAAAATATTTTGTGATTTTTATGATTTTGCGAGTCTTGGTCTCTGTTGATTTTTCAATTGCCATGCAATACATGGAGTGCTGTGCTTTATAAAGTAACTATAATAGATATATCCTAGAGCAGTGGTGGCGAATCTATGGCACGGGGGCCAGAGGTGGCACTCAGAGCCCTCTCTGTGGGCACGCATGCCATCACCCCAGCCAGGCCCAGACCATCATTAAAGTGTCGAATTCTCTGCCAAATAATTTTAAGTAAATGAAAGTATTTGGGATTGCTTTCCTTGCTTTGTTTGGATCATCTTAAGTTAATGTATGAGTTGTGTTTTCTAAAGTAAAACTTCAGTATTCAGGTTAAATTGCCGTGTTGGCACTTTGCGATAAATAAGTGGGTTTTGTGTCGCAGTTTGGACACTCGGTCTCTAAAAGGTTTGCTATCACTGTCCTAGAGCAAGGGCTCCCAGCCTTTTTGAGCCTGCAGATGCCTTTGCAAGGGAGTGGCGAGCACCACCCTAAAATGGCTGCCAGAGGCAGTGAAGCCAAACAGAATACCTCCCTCCTCACACCTCCTAGGAAGAAGGAAAGCCTGAAGAGGGGAAGGAATCACACACTGACTAAGGGGAAAGCCCAGGTGCTTCCCAGCCCTCCTGAACCCCCACTGTGGGGAAACCCTTTCATTTGAATGAGGGCAGCCAAAAACGAGCCCTGTCTTACAGTGGCCCCTTCCACTTGCCAAAAAACCCAGTGAGTGCTGTAGTCCCCTTGGGTCTCCTGGCTTAGAGCATATTTGAAATGGTGTTTTGTGGTGAATAGTCATCCAGTGTGCAATTGCTCGTGTGCAGTCACTCCATGGGAACCGACCAAATCTGTCCCCGGATTTTGGCGTTCCCATCTCCTTTCCAAAACAGAGTGGATGCGTTAGGAATCCTCTTTTTGTTCTATTTTTCTTGCCAGATTCCGTGCAGGGCGTGTGCACAGTGCCACAGCTTTCAGGTCCTTCAGTCTTACACATCACCCACCCCCTTGCTGTTCCTGATGTGTGCCTATGCATTGATAAATCACAGCAAAAAGACAATTAATCTGCCCCAAACAAGTCTCGATATGGTCACCTGGGCAGTCGCCTTAAGGATCCTTTTTTGTACAGTGTGTAGTTTTTTTTTTTTTAAAAAAAAATGTAAATATATTATTAGGTTTTCAAAAATAAAATAAAATAGTGAGAGCAGTACATTTTTAAAGAAATCCATGTCAATGTCTCATACATAACATCGTCTCGCTTACAAAATTCCTTTTTCTGCATATTTATAGTGTCTGGCATCATTCTATGTTATCATGATATTTCTTCCTCTACAAACATATAACCAGAAAAACCCACAATTTCTACTAAAAATGTTCTTATTCTACAATAAAATATCAGATCTTACCATTCTTTACAAACTATATAATTATCTATTATTATAACTATCTTATCTTGCTCCCTATACTATATAGTCTTACTGTTACGTATAGATTTGTCACACAGTGCTATTTTTCAGTCTTTTTAACCAAGGAGAAAGAAAGGGGAAAAGGAAAGAAAGAAAAAAATCATTTCCTGCCCAAAAATTCTCATCTAATCCACACAATTCTTTCCTTTCCAGCTATAATAATTCATGTTATTAATAAAAAGTCTAGATCACTTTACTATAAGACTTCCATCATATTTACATTGCACTATTATTAAATCAAGGTAAATTAGAACCTGTTCAAGACCCATTGCTTATAATATTTGCTTATAACCATCTTTAAGATCTTTTTTCATGGTGTTACATTCCATATTGCCTGTGAGGAAGGTTGGGCTGAGAGAAAGTGACTGGCCCACCGTCATCCATTGGCAGTGTGGGGATTTGAACCAGGTTCTGCTAGATCCTAGTCCAGCATTCTAACCACTGCACCACATGGGCTCAGGAGGTAAACTTGGGTCTCCCAGATCCTTGTCTGGTCCTGTTTATTTATTCTTTTGTAAACCCCCCCCCCCATTCACCCTGATCAAGACCCAAAAGGGGCTTCATCATTTGCCTTTCCTCCAGGCTTGAGAGAGTGTGACTGGCCCAAAGTCACCCCGCAAGCGTCCATGACAGAATGAGGATTCGAGGCGTAATCTTCGTGGGGCCCCCCCATTCACCCTGATCGAGACCCAAAAGGGGCTTCATCATTCGCCTTTCCTCCAGGCTTGAGAGAGTGTGACTGGCCCAAAGTCACCCCGCAAGCGTCCATGACAGAATGAGGATTCGACCACTAAACCATGCTGGCACTCATACTTAGCTGTATGCTGCATTGGCTCTTGTGGTCAACTCTTTTTTCTTTGTATGCCTGAGAAGTCTGGCAAGTTTCAGGAGCAGTCAGACTCAGCATGTGTTGACCAATGTTCCCTCTAAGCTGTGGAGTCTTGTGAGCAAAAACTCTACTTTGTGAGCAATCGACGTTAAAGTTGTGAGCGAGCGATTCGGCTACTGCATAAATCAGTTTGCTCTGGAGCCATCTTTCCCGAGCCAAGACACAAATGTGTGAGCCGGAGGTTAAAAGACTGTGAGCTAGCTCACACTAACTCAGCTTAGAGGGAACACTGGTGTTGACCTAGGAAATGACCAGTGTGGAACTACTCTGGGCTCTCTCATTGCTACTTTTGGCCGAATCTGCATCTAGCATTTGCTCCGCTGTCTTACCAAACCCACACTGGAACAGAAATTCCCATCTACCTTGCATGCCACTTTCACTTTGACTGATTGTCGAATTTTATGGCAGCGTCCAGACTGCATGCCCGCTTTCACTTCATTTGATCTCTGGTTTTATGGTGGCCGTCTGCATAGATTTGTGGCTGTTTTATGGCCATTGGGGGGGGGTTGACTCTGCAGTCAGTATGGCGTTGGCCGGGGTAACTGAATGTGGTTTTGAGCCGCATCTTTTTCTGTTCCAGTGTGGGTTTGGTACAACAACGGAGCAAATACTAGATGCAGATTGGGCCATAGTCATGGAAATCATTGTGGGACTCCTCCGAATCTGCTCTAGGAGTCATCCTGAGTTAATTTCCTAGACGGTGGTTTCAGAAGTTTGGATACTTTTGGGACAGGACTTGGGACCCGGTCTGACTGAAGAAGATCCCCAAATCTGGGTTAGAAATGTAGGCTTGATGTGGCTTTCTTCTCTCTTTCCCATTGATTGGTTAACACGTTTTGTTTCTCCACATGCAAACACCTCCGTGGAGTTTCAGGACGGCTTGCGTGGGCAGAAAATACATGGTGCAAATTGCCCCTTAATAAGAGTCAGCAGGACTCAGCGGGAGCTTTCTGACTGCCACATCCAACATCATGCCTTTTGAATCCTTATTGTTCTTTTCCAGATTTTTCTTCCCCCAGTGCATCTACTGGAGGAAGTTTTTGTATTATCCTAATGAGACCACAACCAAGTAAGCAGCTCACTGTCTCCGATAGGAGGGAAATAAAGACTCTTTGAGCAGATGCTGCTCATTCAAGGGCTTAAAACAATGGAAATAATGCAATGCCTTCAGTTTTAGTAGAATCTCGATTTTCTTTGCAGGGCTCCTGGGGCTTCCTTTGAATGGTTGCTTTTATTTAGCAGCATCAGAAATATGCCCCCTAATATTCCAGCTTTGCAACATTCAATTAAAAGACAAAAACTTTAATTCCAAAAGCCATCTGCTGGCAATTTTTGTTGGCATTCGGTCAAATGCGGCTTCAGTTTCTCACCTGTCAGTTTCAGTTGCTGGAAGGTGTAGATTTTCCAGGCACTACTAGTTCATCAGGGTTGCAAGAGGGGGGGGGGCGGAGCGGGGGCCATTTTGCAGAAACAAGAGCCCATGGCCTCATCCATTTACAAGGGATCAAATGCAGCAAGGCTGGGAATGATCTCTAAGTAATAATAAAGGGGTTGCAGTATAAAAATTCAATGATAACACATGTAGCCACAGAGAGCCGCTGCCAGGCAGAGGAGACAGAACTGGGCTACCAAGACCATTTGGTCTGACTCAGCGTAAGAATGCTGGATTCAGTCAGCTTGTGGTCCAATTAAGTAGGAAAAGGTCGGATTGGGGGGCAGGTTAGTATGGAAAAGTCCCTGCTTGAAAAGCTCATATAATTTCAGGTCAGGACCAGCGTTCCCTCTAAGCTGAGTTAGTGTGAGCCAGCTCAGTTTTTTAGCCTCCGGCTCCAGAGCAAACTAATGTATGCAGTAGCCAAATTGCCCGCTCACAACTTTAATGCCAGTCGCTCACAAAGCAGAATTTTTGCTCACAAGGCTCCACAGCTTAGAGGGAGCACTGGTCAGGCCCA